CCCCCCCCCCCGGGTATCAGTACTGGTAGTTTGTGTGATCATCTGGGTGAGGGTAATTCTGAAAAGTTGTTGGTGACTGCTTGGACATTTCAACAACCTGAGGGGAAGTCATTTTCAGGTTCAAGTGAAAAGTGGAACCGACCAATGACTGTTGACAAACTTTACACAAGTGTTACAGCCCATATCATAATGGCTAAACTGGCCAAACAGTGTCAAAGGACCATGGACTGAAAAACACTTTTCACTTGACTCTGAAGATGACTTACACTCAGGTTGATGAAGCGCCAGTCACCAACAACAGTTCTTTTCTGAACTACCTTCACTCACAAGATCACACCATACAAACTACTTTGCTGTTAGGGAGTACAAAAGTGAGTCTCTGTTGAGGTAAAATTCCATCTTGTGACGTGCATTTAAAAAGAGACATGGAGGCCGATAAAATGATGGGGATTGACTGGATTGAGTTGAAATTCCAACAGTTATTTGAGAACTTTTTTTTCAAAAAAAAAAAGAAAAAAAAAACATTGCAACTTGAAAACGACTTAAAATTCAGATGGTTGACATGCATAAAATTGCTGTGCCCTTCAAAAGTCCTTGAAAAATTACGAAGAATTTAGGTTTTCTTCTTAAAAGGTAATCTAGACATGAACTACCTGGATAAGGCAAGAAAAACATTTCAAGCCTTTAAAAGTGTATTGTTGTAAACATCAAATGTATTGCTGTAACCAATGGTTTCAAACTGTGTTCTTTAATATCTGTTAATACACATGTGCGTTCGAAATCTATAGCAGAAATACAGCAGTTATGTTGAGTAAGGATTCTGTTAAATTACAGTTTCATAGAAAGGAAATATTTAGCCGATGGTTGTCCTCAACGTTCGTTGTGTCTCATGCACGATCTATTAGTGATGTTTCGTTTTGTGATTGTTCAATTATAGCTTATTAACGACTGTTGTGCTTTCATGCGTATTTAATTAATCTAGAGTGAAACAAAAAGTTTATTTTGAAAATACAGGAGTTAAGTGATTATTATGTGAAGTACCGAAGAGTCTAAGTAATCCCACCTTCAATGGAGTCTTGAGTATTCTGTATTTTTTGTCCCCACTGTCTAATGCAAAATTTACTTGTGATTCTGAAGGGAAGCAGGTCTGTGAATGTTATTGATTTGCCCTTGAAAAGTCCTTGAACCTAGAATATTCTTTGGAAAAAAAGTCTGCATATGAACAATGGTGCTGAGGGTTTTTATTGCAGAAATGCAATACTTAAATGAGACCTTCCCTATTATAAACTTTTGATTACTTGCTGTCTGTCATCTTTTTGTCAGGTTATGTAAACCTGCTCCCTATTTTTTGTTTCTTAGGGCCTGATTACATGGCGAATTTCAGCCCGGTAAGCCGAGCTGAAATTTCAGCCCTGCTTCTGAAACAAATTCTCATGAAATCAAATTGGCGATTACATGGAGAAGGATTCATCCCGGGCCGCAATTAAGCCCGGGCAAACGGGCTAAAAATTCTGAAAAAAATCCCATGTAATCGAAACGGAATTTCAGCCCGGGCTGAAAAGCAGGAAATACGATGGCTGCCGCTACGAAGTAGAAGCTATCTCAGTGGAATAAAGGCGATAAAATAGAGAATCTCT